TGTGGCAGCATCGTTTCCGGGACACCTGAGATGTTGAGTGAGATTGAGAGGTTCTATGGGCAGCTGTACACATCATCGTTGGAGCCACACGCAAGTGTGAGTAACGATCCAAGAGCAAGTCTTATCCGACACTATTCCGATGATATCCCGGACGTCAGTCTAAGCGAGATTAGAGTGGCTCTCCAGCACCTTAAAAACGGCAGGGCCCCAGGCGAGGATGGAATTACAGCGGAGCTTCTGAAAGCGGGTGGAACACCGGTACTGGAAGTCCTTCAGAAGCTCTTCAATTCCGTCCTCCATGGTGGCACTACTCCAGAGGCGTGGAGCAGAAGTGCGGTGGTCTTGTTCTTTAAGAAAGGCGACAACGCTCTCTTGAAGAACTACAGACCGATTTCCCTTCTGAGCCGCGTCTACGTGCTGTTTTCAAGAGTCATTACGAATCGTCTCGCACGCAGACTCGACGACTTCCAGCCTCCCGAACAAGCCGATTTCCGCAAAGGTTTCAGTACCATAGACCACATACATACCCTGCGGCAGATTGTACAGAAGACTGAAGAGTACAATTTGCCACTTTGCCTGGCGTATGTGGACTATGAGAAAGCCTTTGATTCCGTCGAAATTTGGGCGGTGCTGCAGTCCCTTCAGCGGTGCCAAGTTGACTGTCGGTATATCGAAGTGCTGAAGTGTTTGTACAGTAGGGCTACGATGGCTATCCGAGTCCAGAACCAGAGCTCGAAACCTATCCAACTGCAGAGAGGTGTAAGACAGGGTGACGTTATATCCCCGAAACTCTTCACCGCTGCTTTGGAAGACGTTTTCAAGCTACTGGACTGGAAAGGATACGGTATTAACATCAATGGTGAGTACATCACTCACCTTCGATTTGCCGACGATATAGTCCTTATGGCAGAATCGCTGGAGGACTTAAGCACTATGCTCAATGACCTCAATAGTGCCTCCCAACGGATAGGTCTTAAGATGAACATGGACAAAACAAAGATCATGTTTAATGTCCATGTCACACCTATGCCGGCAGTTGTTGGGAGCACTATGCTCGAAGTTGTTGACGAGTATGTTTACCTGGGACAAATAGTCCGACTAGGTAAGTCCAACTTCGACCGAGAGGTCAATCGACGGATTCAACTCGGCTGGGCAGCGTTCGGGAAATTACGACATATCTTCTCGTCAGGTATACCTCAATCTCTAAAAACTAAATTGTACAACCAGTGCGTGTTGCCAGTGATGACTTACGGATCTGAGACGTGGTCCTTCACTGCTGGCCGTATGAGGACGCTCAAGGTCGCTCAGCGAGCTATGTAGAGGGCTATGCTCGGAGTTTCTCTGCGTGATAGACTCAGAAATGAGGATTCCGCAGTAAAACCAGAGTGACCGACATAGCCCAACGGATTAGTAAGCTGAAGTGGCAATGGGCCGGCCATATAGCTCGAAGAACCGATAACCGATGGGGAAGAAAGGTTCTCGAGTGGCAGCCTCGTACCGGTAGGCGTAGTGTAGGGCGACCCCCCACTAGACGGAGTGACGACCTGGTAAGATATGCAGGAAGTCGATGGATGCAGGTGGCTCAGGACCGTGGTTTGTGGCATTACTTGGGGGAGGCCTATGTTCAGCAGTGGACTTGTGAAGGGCTGTAATGATGATGATGAATGATGATTTGTTAGGATTGACGAATCAAAAAATCTATACATATAGAACAATATTGTTTTACTTTTATTTACATCTACTACTAACCTACCAGCAAAGTTAAGGAAATAAATTGTCTTTACATATATGCAATAACGTATCTTATATCGGAATACTAGTAATATGTTGCAGAAGCTAAAATCTAGCCATATAGTAAGATAGGTTAAGCAGTAACGTTAAAGGAGTGAGACGTCTGGCACTGTCATCGTCAACCATTTTGCTAACCGTGACCACTAAGGCAAATTCCTCAATACTACGGAAGAGGTTCAAATTTAGCAGTAAGCTTTCACAGGTCGATAAAGGAGCAGGAGAATGCTACAGATGGGAGAGGATTATGTTATAATTATACCTCGGTGTGTGGCATGGTGATGGAGGTAATGAGCGGGAAGACGCGTTGGCCCTCGGCGCAGATAGCGAGTGAGCGGAACCCGCACGTCGCAAACCAGCCACCAAAGCGCTCATCGCACCTCCTCCTGTTGTAGTCAAACTGTTTTCATTTCATCCGGCTATACTATTGTTCGAAATACTGGGTGGAGTATCGAGAAACAAGGCCCTTTAAAGATGAGTCGATTTGAAAGCGATTAAACGGTCTCACCGTTGTCTATACTGTCTGTGTCTGTTAATTTATCGACTTCATTTTATCGAATCATGTGACAATATATTATTTATTTTTAATTTTAACAATATATTCATCTAGATTTTACTTATATTTGTGATTGAAGTGGTAGGCATATAAACACAAACTAAAAAAAATGATTTTATAAAAATTTTCAAACTATTTGTTACTGCTTCAAGTCGCTCAGCGAGCGTGTGAGAGGGTTGTTCTCGGAGTTCTTTGCGTGATAAAATTCGTAATGAAGAGTAACCAACAGTCCGACACATCAGTAAGCTGTAGTGGCAAGAACCGACAACCGATCAGAGAAGAAAGATTCTAGAGTGACAACCTCGAAGTGTAGGGCAGCCTTCCAACTAGATAGAGTTACGAAATCGATGGATGCAGGTGGCTCAGGACCTTGTTATGAGATAACCCTTAGGGGAGGCCTATGTTTAGCAGTGGACTTCTGAGGGGCCCTTAATATTATTTACTAAATTATATCATTATTTTGATTTAGTTTACGATTTGTTTATGCAAGTTTGATGTTGCGAGGCGGTCACATCGTGTCGCTGGAGAGAATAGTACATTCCTTGCTGCAGACAGTCTGAAATTATGCATGGTAAAGCCAAGCTACAGCTAAGTTAAGGTTGTAGCACGAGTGGGTTTGATCGACATGGGGAGGATCGAACTCTCACAGAATTCCAGCGTTATCTACGATTACGAACTACGATTTACGACCTAGAGGACAATTTAAACTTCTTAGAACAGTAACGAATATTTTTTTTTATAGGATAGGGTGACAAACAGGCACACAATCCACCTGATGGTAAGTGGTTGCTGTGGCCCATAGACATCTACATCTATCCTAGATTACAAAACAAAATGCAGATGCGTTGTCACTAAGATGGAATGCCTTGTTTCTAGCAAAAAGGGTCTCCGGTTCTTTACACTCACCATACAAAACACAGCCGCATTAAGCTACTATTTCACGCTGGTTATTCACATATACTAGAGAAATCCTAAGATTTTTAAGATATCTATGATCTAAAAAAGCTTACCGTGCACCATAATATGTTCTATTAGCTTCTATTCTATTATATATTTAAAATAATCAATGTGATTATTTAAAATCAGATTTAAAAAAGTATATATTATGAACAGCGGTAGATTCTCCATCTTTATAAAGTATTGATTTGAAATATAAAAACTTAATTTTTTTCTGTAGGCTGTCATAAAGAATGTTATACTTATATTTTCTATCATTTGGGGAAACAATGCATGTTGCAGTTTTGTTCCCACGTTAATATAGGAAAGAGAATGCTTAAGTATTGTTACTGCCTCACATTATATGAATTGAAGACTTGGGAAAACATGCATGAAGTCGATAGACGTAGGAGGCTCAGGACCATGCTTTGCGGCGTTCCTTGGGGATCTTTATGTTCAATTTTAAGCTTGTGAAGGGTTTCCTTTAACGCCGATTATGTGTTAAATCCGTGTGGTGGTGCCGACAGGTATCGAACTTGGTTTGTTCGCGTATTGTAAATTTTAGACACAGATTTTCTTCCACAGCCGCAGCTTAGCTATGCCGAATAATATCTATTAAATCTCTGCTAGATTATTTAAAGCGCCAAAAGAAATAAAAACAATTTTACGCAATAAAAATTTTGGAATGCAACAATTGCTTATATTTCACGTCGCGTTCAGTCATTTCCCTGTACTTTTCCGTGACTCGCTTATTCCGGTCATGCTCCAATAAATTAATTCTCCATAGTAAAGTAACTCATATGGATTGCAATTAAGACACATAATCCTCTGCAATTCTGATGGTCTATTTCCTTCATAAGTCAAGGCCTCTACAACTGTCTCTAATTCGATCCCGTATGTACTAGTGTAACGAAATTATAAGTGGGGATGAGCACGATAGCAAAAGATCGTAGATAAGCTTCGGAGATCGTTGCATTGTGTTGAATTTCTTAATACAAACTATTATCCTTGAAGAACATGCCAACCAGACCGTTTATTTAGACGAGTTACTATTCTAACATACCTAACTTCGTTAATTAGAAATTTTAACAGAACGTAGCAATTAATTATATACCAACGCATTAGGTGGAAAATTTAGGTTAGGTTAGGTAATGTTTATATGAGTAAGGATAAAAAAAAACAGTTAACTTCTAATAACGAAAATTTGTTAATTACGTAGAGTAAAAATTGTACGCATAAATTATTTACAAGGCCATTGTGTTTGTCAATAATTTGTAAGAAAATCTATAAACTTATATTCGTCAAGTTTTACTTATTTTAATATTTCAATTATTTACATAACCTTATGGGAAATGTTTTTACTTCAGCTATCTTTAGTAGTGGGTTTATAACGAACTGTATGTTGTATTATGTATTATGAATATAATATTAGCACCGGTTTAAAAGTTTATAGCTTAATATAATTTTACAAAATTATTGTAAAACTATTACTATAAAACTTTTTTGTAACTTATTTCGTAACATTAATGTTTTAAAGGAAAATTTACATTTACGGACGGCGGATGACTACGAGGAAAACATCAAAACAAAGGAGTTTACAAAACGCAGCATGACAGAGGGGATTAAACATCAAAAATATAAAAAAACACCTGTGTCGGTCTGTGTAGTTACGTGTCGGATGAGTCCGGATGGGTTAATAACGCGTGAAACTTCTCTTTCGTCAGCATTTGAATAGTTCGTCTGCGCAACAAACAAAAATATATTTGGGAATCAGCGACATTAAACTAATAGGTACTATAATTGCGCTTTAAACATGTATAAAATATTAGTCTGTTAAAGAAAATACTTTTAGATATTTTTTTTGTATTTCGTTTGAGTTGTTGCAATCTGATGTTTTTGCTATTATATTTCAGTAATTGATTTTAAAACAAGTAAAAATTTATTTTCGAAGTTATATATATAATAACCTTCTTCATGCACGTCTAAGGAGTCCTTTCTGTCAGTCTTATCTTCTTCATCAGAATATGGATCAAGCATGGAGTCAGGTTCCGTCATAATTAATTCTGGAGGTGAACATCCGCCTCCTGTTGAAGTATCTGGAATAGAATAACCTTTTTAGTAAAATAAGGGAAATCAGTACACCTATAGGTTTTTATTCTATGGAAGATTCAAAAAAATTAAAAATATTCTTTTTTTTTATAACATAAACAATATATTATATACAGTATAAACCGGCGACGAGGTTCGCCATCCATCACGTTCTGTCTCCCGGAGGGGCAAAAAGTGGATTGCGGAATGCCGATGATCAAGTCATATTTGCGTCATCGGCGGCTGAGTTGCAAATGATGGTTACATTAATGAACTGGGAATTAAAAGGAAGGGGAATGAAAGTGAACGCAAGTAAGACGAAAGTGATGGTTTTTGAAAGAGAAGAAAGCAAAACGGTATGTGAAATAAGAATAGAAGGAGAGTTAATTGAGCAAGTGGATGAGTTTGTGTATTTGGGATGTGTATTTAGCAGGGATGGTAGATATGATAGGGATATAGAACGACGAGTAAATGCAGGGAATAGAGTGAATGGGGCACTACACTCTATTATGAAGAACCAGAATGTGTCAAAAAAGGCACGTATGGTAATTCATAATGCTATGTTAGTCCCTACTTTAATGTATGGTAGTGAAAGCTGGGTGTGGCAGAAGAAGCACGAAAGTAGAATAAATGCTGTAGAAATGCGGTCTTTAAGGAATATATGTACTAGGGTTGAATTTGAATGACAGGGTGAGAAATTGCGTGACCCTAAGAGATAAATGTGGTATGCAAGATGATGTTGTGACCAGGATTAAGAAAGGAATGCTTCGGTGGTTTGGTCATGTAGAAAGAATGAATGAGGAAAGAGTGACAAAGCAAATTTATATGGCAGATGTGAATGGCCGAGTCGGGAAGGGACGCCCTAGAAAAAAGTTTATCGACCAAATTAGATATATGGATGTAAAGGAGGCGAAAGAGGTATGTCAGGATCGTGCCAAATGGAAGTCCGTAGTCTCTGCCTACCCCTCTGGGTGACAGGCGTGAGTGTTTATATATTTATATTAGTATATTTACGAAAATTAATATAATATGTTCACAAAAACAAAAGTAGTTTTAGTAAAAAAAAATGATATACAAAGACTTCTCGACTCCACAGAATCTATCCATTCATAAAATATAATAATGTATACACTATTACAACGAAGTCCCAGAAAATATACATCATCATCATCATCATCACAGCCCTTCACAAGTCCACTGCTGAACATAGGCCTCCCCCAAGTAATGCCACAAAGCACGGTCCTGAGCCACCTGCATCCATCGACTTCCTGCATATCTTACCAGGTCGTCACTCCATCTAGTGGGGGTCGCCCTACACTACGCCTACCGGTACGAGGCTGCCACTCGAGAACCTTTCTTCCCCATCGGTTATCGGTTCTTCGAGCTATATGGCCGGCCCATTGCCACTTCAGCTTACTAATCCGTTGGGCTATGTCGGTCAATCTGGTTTTACTGCGGATATCCTCATTTCTGAGTCTATCACGCAGAGAAACTCCGAGCATAGCCCTCTCCATAGCTCGCTGAGCGACCTTGAGCGTCCTCATACGGCCAGCAGTGAAGGACCACGTCTCTGATCCGTAAGTCATCACTGGCAACACGCACTGGTTGTACACTTTAGTTTTCAGAGATTGAGGTATACCTGACGAGAAGATATGTCGTAATTTCCCGAACGCTGCCCAGCCGAGTTGAATCCGTCGATTGACCTCTCGGTCGAAGTTGGACTTACCTAGTCGGACTATTTGTCCCAGGTAAACGTACTCGTCAACAACTTCGAGCATAGTGCTCCCAACAACTACCGGCATAGGTGTGACATGGACATTAAACATAATCTTTGTTTTGTCCATGTTCATCTTAAGACCTATCCGTTGGGAGGCACTATTGAGGTCATTGAGCATAGTGCTTAAGTCCTCCAGCGATTCTGCCATAAGGATTATATCGTCGGCAAATCGAAGGTGAGTGATGTACTCGCCATTGATGTTAATACCGTATCCTTTCCAGTCCAGTAGCTTGAAAACGTCTTCCAAAGCAGCGGTGAAGAGTTTCGGGGATATAACGTCACCCTGTCTTACACCTCTCTGCAGTTGGATAGGTTTCGAGCTCTGGTTCTGTACTCGGATAGCCATCGTAGCCCTACTGTACAAACACTTCAGCACTTCGATATACCGACAGTCAACTTGGCACCGCTGAAGGGACTGCAGCACCGCCCAAATTTCGACGGAATCAAAGGCTTTCTCATAGTCCACATACGCCAGGCAAAGTGGCAAATTGTACTCTTCAGTCTTCTGTACAATCTGCCGCAGGGTATGTATGTGGTCTATGGTACTGAAGCCTTTTCGGAAACCGGCTTGTTCGGGAGGCTGGAAGTCGTCGAGTCTGCGTGCGAGACGATTCGTAATGACTCTCGAAAACAGCACGTAGACGCGGCTCAGAAGGGAAATCGGTCTGTAGTTCTTCAAGAGAGCGTTGTCGCCTTTCTTAAAGAACAAGACCACCGCACTTCTGCTCCACGCCTCTGGAGTAGTGCCACCATGGAGGACGGAATTGAAGAGCTTCTGAAGGACTTCAAGTACCGGTGTTCCACCCGCTTTCAGAAGCTCCGCTGTAATTCTATCCTCGCCTGGGGCCCTGCCGTTTTTAAGGTGCTGGAGAGCCATTCTAATCTCGCTTAGACTGACGTCCGGGATATCATCGGAATAGTGTCGGATAAGACTTGCTCTTGGATCGTTACTCACACTTGCGTGTGGCTCCAACGATGATGTGTACAGCTGCCCATAGAACCTCTCAATCTCACTCAAAATCTCAGGTGTCCCGGAAACGATGCTGCCACACTCAGTCTTCAGCCTTGACAGTTGGCTCTTTCTGGCAGACAGATCTCTGGGAAAGACTTTGGAGCCCTGGTTCCGCTCGATCGCTTCTTTAATACGAGCAGTATTAAAGTTGCGTAAGTTTCGCCGCAGGCATTTGGAGATCTGTCTGTTCAGTTGCCTGTATGCTGTCAAATCTGTTGACGATTGCAGCCTCATCTCCCGTCTAACAGCCATGAGATTAAGAGTGTGATCGGAGAGTTTTTGTGTTCTTCTGCGGCGGGTCTTGCAGAACTTAGCTCCGACCGCATGGACAGTTTCCACGAGCTTGTCATTCATATCGTCCACTGCATTGCAATCTTGTAGGCACTGAAAGCGGTTGTGTAACTCGAGCTGAAAGTTTTCGGGATTTTGGATCAGAGCACGAGGGGGGACGGAGCGTTGACTTCATTAGACGAGACCTCTCCAACTTAACGTTTAGGTTCAGTGTGCCTCTAACCATTCGGTGATCGCTGCCAGTTTTCACCCTTGCGATCACTGAGACATCACTGAACAGTTGGCGTCTGGTCGTCATAATGAAGTCAATCTCATTTTTTGTCGAACTGTCGGGGCTCGACCAGGTCCACTTCCTGTGGGGCCGCTTCTGGAAGAAAGAGTTCATCATAAAGAGTCCCTCTTTCTCCATAAAGTCGGCCAGCTGCTGGCCCCTTCGGTTTCGTTGCCCTACTCCAAATTTCCCTAACTTCAGCTCACCGTTTTCTCTTGTGCCTAGTTTTGCGTTGAAGTCTCCCATCAACACCGTGTAGTGGGTTTTGGAGGAATGTATGGCTTTGGAAATATCCTCATACATTTCCTCCACCTCCTCATCGGAATGTGCCGACGTTGGTGCGTAAACCTGTATGACCTTCAGCGAATACCGTTTGGTGATTCTGAGTATCAGGTACGCGACCCTCGTCGACACACTCTCAATCTGTACAACGTTGTTGACGAGAGACTTGTGGACGATAAATCCGACACCTCCTTGGGACAGATGGTCGCCTTCCCGGTGATAGAACAAGTTGCCGGATTCGAGAATCACCGTGTCCTCCCCCTCTCTTCGGACCTCGAAAATATACAAGATCTCTCTAATACCAAGGTTAAATATTTTATTAAACAAAAACTGTAGGTATAACGAAGGTTATTATAATATAAGTGTATGCATGGTTGGTAATAACCCATGGGAAGGAGGTGATCGCTTCTAAGCTGTTTCTAAAATACATTTTGTGAATAGTTTGTAATACCTATCATATTATTTAATTTACTTTTCTTTTAAAGACCCGCTGGGTTTCTTCCCAGGACAGATGCTTTTTCCGAACTAGTGGTAGTAAAGAAATGACTTTCAAATAAGAATTACGTGTAATCTATATTGAATTAAAATTGTTTTTCAGTAATACCTATCAAAAGTGTAACCACACAACCTAATGCGTATTAAGTCCGTTCGAAAGTTATCGAGCAAAACTCGGTCATCCGGGTATATACTATATATAGGGCAGTGGTTTCAAAGTTTAAACAAAAAAAGTTCTATTGAGATTTCAAAAAATGCCGTCGACTACGGATAAAGATTTTCTCGCGTTTATTGTATCAATTTTTTGCTTAAATAAAAAGAAAAAAAGGAAAAGAATTTGATGCAAAGAATAGTACATAGGTATTAAGAAATGGCGCTTCAAAGAAAACCAAAATATAAACTTCCATCAAATAAGCTGCAAACACGTAACGTTTGATCAAACCTGTCATAAAAACGGTGTAAACGATCAAATTGGTTTGACTCAAACGGTTTGACCGTCTCGGGGCCCCTTTAGAAACAAATATGCGATAACATAGTTCATAGGGTAGGATGTATTGTCCCACACGGCGACAATCACGAAACAACCAAATCTAAAAACCGACAGTTTGTAGTTTTGCAGTTTTTGTGTTTTAGGCCAAACTATCGTTACAGTTTTAATTAATTGTATATTTTGAGCACATTGTTAAGTTCATAACAGAACGTTTAAAATGAATAAATATAATTTTATTTTGTTTATTAATGGTAAGTTTACTTAACTTATAAGCAATGATTCTATGAAGTAAGGTTTAGCCTACGCGCTTAGGCCCTGAACTGTGTATCCTACGAAATAAGGTCTTGCCTGCGTTCGCTGTAAATTACACTGGACGCGAGCAATCCGGGG